ATTTCAACCCAGGCAGGATTACCATGTCTCCAAGGAATTTGGGGCATGGGAATAGACTGAACCAAGATAAAATTGGAAGTAAGTAAAAGGAAAACTGGATCTAGTTGTGATCGGGGTACTTTTCATTATTTTGTGGTTTGGTTTGAATTGTTCTGTGTGAATCTATACCTCCCCTCCCCATTTAACATCTTGCAGTGTGCCCAGAGACTTTTCTCTGTGTTTTGTTTTCGTTAGTTGCTCTGTAACATCTAGCAACCAAGTATGCTTTATCAATTGTATCTTTTGTTTTATAATAAAAATCACGTTTTAAGGTGATGATTTGATTCTTGTGTCCTGGAAGGTCTGTCTGTGTGTATTTGCATGCCTCCAACTGAGGGATCAGCTACCAGAGACTGCAACATGTTTTTCCTCTTCTTTTTTTCAAGCTCTTGTAGGGCAAAAGAGCTTGGGGTACCTCTGGGGATGGGTTCAAGTGTCCCCCCCTGTTTTTACGGATAAAAATCATTAGATGGTGGCAGCGATTCCCCAAAATCTGTGTACAGGCAGTCCCCGGGTTACGTACAAGATAGGGACTGTAGGTTTGTTCTTAAGTTGAATCTGTATGTAAGTTGGAACTGGCGTCCAGATTCAGCTGCTGCTGAAACTGACCAGCGGCTGACTACCGGAAGCCTGAGGCAGAGTTGCCCTGCCCCGGGCTTCCTGGAATTAGCTGCTGAATAGGCGCCCCAAAGTCAGCTGCTGCTGAAACTGATCAGCGACTGATTCCAGGAAGCCCGTGGCAGAGCAACTCTGCCTCGGGCTTCCTGTAGGCAGCGCTGGTCAGTTTCAGCAGCGGCTGACTTGGGGACGCCTGGGGCAGAGCAGCTGGGGTGCTGCTGGGTTGCTCTAGTAGCGCGGCTCCTTGGGTGGACCCCCTCAGCAGACCAGGGAGACTGAGAAAAGCCCCGTTCGTAAGTGCGGATCCGACATAAGTCGGATCCGCATAAGTCGGCGACTGCCTGTATATTTTTTGTACATTTTCAAATCTGTTGACACAACAATTGTACATAATTTACCAAGCAAGCTGATTCATACTTATTAGGGTTTTCTGTATACTGTAGTTATCAACCAGCACATTTTCTCTTACACAGTATTTCATAATTGTGTGACCACTAACTTTTCTATTTGCAAATACCTGTTTGTGTGAAACACTTTTTAAAGGATGTATAAGTGCACTGAATGCATTTTGTTTCAGGGATTAATTATTTAAAATTGTGTGCGTACAAAAATCAAGCACATAATTGGGTGCCTAATTCATGCTACACTTGTACTTGCAGATCAGGTATTTGAACATGCAGGTATCCAATCTTGTCCTGTATAGTTTTAAAATTACACCACAGAGTTCCAGCGAAATCAGCTGGACTCTTTCCAGACAAAAGTAATACCTGATTACCATTCATGGTCTTCAGAAATTCAATTCTGCTTCCCATTGTTGTCAGCTGACAGCAGTGGAAATAAAATCAGGCTTGTATTCCTAGTGGGCTCTAGGAGTCTTACGGAAGTTCCTGGAAAACAAAAGTTTGGAATCTGTTAAATCAGCCCTTCCAGTTAATCAGAGTGGATGGTTATGTTTTCAGTGTGGAATACCTACTCTACCTTGAATCACAGCAGTGTTTCTTAAACTTTTTAAGACCGAAGAACATCAAACAATAGTTTTTTTTAATGAAGAACACCAAGGATTTTTGGTTGGGGGGGGGGAGTTACTGAGGGGGGAAAAAAGGGTCAGGGAAAGTTATTGAGCAAAAAAAAAAAAAGTCACTTGCCCCTTTAAGGTGAATGAGAAACAGAATTCTTATACAGGCAGTCCCCGAGTTACGCGGATCCGACTTACGTCTGATCCGCAGTTACGAACGGGGCCCTTCCTCTCTCTGGTCTCCAGCAGACCAGGGAGAGGAAGCAAAGCCGCGGAGCACGCGGGCAGTGGGACAGCCCAGACGCGCCGCAGCTGTCCCACTGCCAGCATCCTCCGAGGCTTTGCTCCCCATCTCCCTGGTCAGCTGGGGGGGAGCTTCCCCCCCAGCAGACCAGGGAGATGTGGAGCAGCTTTTCTCGCCCCGGAGGACACG